TGTGAACATTTCTCACGGCCCTTATTTTAATTTTTAGTGCTTTCAATTTTCACTTTTTGTGTTTTTTTAATCTATAATGTGGTATGTGATTTTTTGTTATATAGTGGCCTTTTATTTTAAATTACTGTATTTTATGATTGTGCCAAAACAGGATGAACTGTGCCAAAAGTGCCTCTGTGAACGAAAGTGCCAAAAACGGCACTATTGCGCCTACTTTTCCATCACTGGTGACAGCACTTATTTACACTTGACAGTAATTTTGAACTCTAATGTATTATAACTCTAATTTCGATTACAATTTTTGTATTATTTCACACTATATATACTTACAGCTATGAAATAATCAAAAATAAATAATTTCATATATTAATAAATAAAAAAAATTAATTCAACAAGATATTTTTGTAATTTTTTATTTCACATCCAAGTGCATGACAAACAAAACCGACTTCAAAAACAAAACCGACTTCAATTCTCATATAAAAATTTAAGATTATCGTTAATTTGGTAAGCAAATTGTTATGAAAGAAGATTATTGCATAATTACCACTGCTACATATGTATATTCACAATAGATATGCGACCCGAACTTGAAAATTTTAAACGTGAATGCGAAACATCTGGGAGCATGACATGACTCCTACATTTGGAGCTCCTCTGCAGTGCGGAGAGTGATGCAGCGTTCGTACGAGAATGGGAACCACAACTTGTTTTTAATAGGTAACGCTTAATAAATGTTAAAGTGTAACTCTAAAAAAATTTTTCCAGGTGATTCTGGATACCCCCTAGAGCCGTGGCTTATGACGCCGTTACCAAACCAACCGGAGGGGTCTCCTAAATTTCGCTATAATGAAGCGCTATGCAAGGCTAGGAATCCCATCGAAAGACTTTTCGGCGTCCTCAAAGGAACTTGGCGATGTCTTTCGCAACAAAGGGTTCTTTTGTACGATCCCGGGTTTGCTGCATAATATTCGTTTGGGAGAGCAGCAAACGAACGAACATTAAAACTTTGCAACCGAAAGTGGGGCAGACAGACTTCTTGATAACTCTAATTCGTCATCTTCCGCTGCGAAACGAATCCAAGATAGATTAATAGCTATCTTTTTTTCCTAATTACTTCTAGTTACTTAATCATTTTTCTCCTTTAGACTGCGATCAAAATTTCAAATATATACCCAAATTATAGCCTGACCACATATTGACAAGTTTTAACGAACTATTTGTTTTTAATTTATATTACTTTTTTAAATGGTGTAATCTGTAACTAAAACAGTATAAATTCAAGTTTCAAATTTATGGAATATTTAAGCAAAATTCAACAAC